CCTTGGTCCTTGTTTTTTTTTTTTGTTTGTTTGTTTTCGCTTCATATTTTTCCCCTTCATATTTTTTCTGAACAAATCCGAGAAGTTGGTGTGGCGCTAAGCCGCTGAGAAGGCTCTGATATGGGTCTTGTACGGTGGCTTTAGGCTGGATTGTCCGTTCTGTGCCTGTGTCTGTCCGTTTGGCTGCTCTCCTTGTGTTTGTTGCGTTTCGTGGTGATCCTCCAGGACTGTCTTTTCTTCGCCCTTTTCCATGCTCGACTCTGTCGGTTGAACTACACGGCCCTGAGAAGGTATCAAACCAATTGTTATTATTATTTTATTAACAACAAGGAAAATCGTAGATTTTGTACCTCCGGGTATTGAAATGTGTGTTGCAGAATGTTGGGTGCATGTTGGGACTGTTCTTTAAATTAGTGAATTCGCGCGAATACCATTTTTTCGAAATGTTTGTAATTGGCTAAATGATCTGTGAAATCACTAATCCCCCCTAGCCGACTGGAGCCCAAAAATAGAAAGGACAGGGGGCATCCCGTGGCGAATCTGGCTGCCCGACCCTCAGCGACCAGCGATAATGTAAACAAACACCCGCTCCGGGCGCCAGCCGCCAATCGTCCGGTGCGCGTGTTACCCTTCTAACATATAAGTAAGGCCATGTTGATTTGATTATATGGATGACATCCTCTGGGAACCCCAAAACTGATGCGCGCGTGCGAATAGTAAAATCTGAGCTTTTTATTGTATACTTTTATATGTTGTTTGTTATATACATGTAGTTGATGGTGTTGAATTTTATGTGTTAGATTTAGCCTTCCTGGTTGTGTTAACACAGGTCAGTATTTTCATCTGCAGCCTATAACATGTACCCACGAACGGGCCGCCACGAACTTGTGCCACAAGGAACTCGTAATGAAACTCAGAATGACAACCGGAGCCGTTAAATGGAATCAGACGTTAAAAATAACTGCTGAAGTACCTCCCCGCATGTGCAAGTCATCCTTATTGTCACTTCCTCCATTTTCCGCCGATTCTTCGTATAAATTGGGGAAGTAAAGGTCTGAATCCGCGGTATTTGTAAGTTAGAAGTCGTAATATACGCCGAAAACAACCAACACAAAGGTTGCGCAACAGTACGTTGACCCCTGACCCATTGGCTAACCAGGAAGTGCCGATTACGTGTCCTGTGAACGCGTACTAAAGTATCCCCCCAGCGGGTCCCACCAGGCACGATAATGAGACGTTGATTGACGGCACATGTGGTTCACATCTGAACAGTTTCAAAGAAAGAATTTATCGAGAATGCTGACACCCCTCTGTGTGAAAGGTCAGATCAGTGGTCGAAACCTCAATGGTCCTTATACATGCAAAGGTCAAAAGTTGAGGCCCACTTTCACACTGAAAGGGGTGTCCATACGCTGTCACAACGCATCATTTTCACGCACTAAAACACACATACTAAAAAACCAAAACAACGTGCACCATCTACAGCCCAATAGCAAAACGTATACCAAGTCCCAGACATACCCGTCCACCCAAACGCTAGAAACGGCTGCGAACGTAATTTTCGTCTTCCCTCACAAAACCTCCGCGCACGGGATGTACATCCCTACCCGGAGGTAACAAGACTGGCAATGAAAACATACACGGCAACGGTGGTTGCTGTTAGGGGTATTGTTTACATGGTACTGCCATGACTTTATGATTTTGAGTACCTTGGTACCCTTCCCTCCCCTGAGCCCCGTGAACGAGCCCCGAGGTCACAGAAACTGGGGCAGACAGGTTTCCTAAGGGTTTCCAGGAATGTGGGCATGTCAGCAGAGCTGGGAGACATACCTGTGGACAAAATGCCTGTACAATTCCTAGAATTTTTGCGAACTGCACACAATCAGGCTCCTACCTGAGACGTCGCCAAAAAATGACGGTGGAAGGTTATAGAACCGGTGTTCAGCACCAAGGACAGGTCTAGGGCCGATCTTTGTTTCAACTGTCTGCTCAATGCGATTTCAGGGCAGCAAAACAAAAAATACTCAAAATGAAGAAATCTGTCTGATATCAACATTATATATCTAATATATCTTATAAATCTGTCTGATATCAGCGAGCACCGAAGGCACGAGTTTCCTTGGGAGGTTCAGGGCATTTCCTGCGTTTTGGGAGGATTTCTAAGGAAAAATAAGACATAACTTTTTATTCAATGACAAAGTGAGCAGTTTTTCTACGATCCCAACCCCACTGGTGATACGAATCAGTCCATGTTTTAGAGAAAAAATTTGGACCTTCAGATAAAAAGCGGACCTTTGGGCCTTAATTGGTGGGGGGGGGGGGGCACACTTCCTCAGAGCTTCTGACTGGAGTTCTGCTTCTCGCCACTATAATTATAAGTAGCCGATGTAGGTGGCGCTTTTGCGGCGAGAACACATACAATCCCAAAGAAAACTCTTGGATCCTATACTTTACCAACCTGATGAAACTATTTTCGGAATTGTGTGTGTTCTATTTGTGAGAACTTCCCCTACCTTCTTCCCCCAGCGCCCTTTATTTTTCCACGTCCGTCGCAGAAGGAGGTATCCCACTACCAGCAGCAGGATGAAGATTACGGCAGCGATGGGAGCGGCGATGGCGGCTACGGGAGCGGGTGCGGGGTCGTCTGAGGCCCGCTCAGTGGTACTGTCCGCGCCCCCCGCGCCGGTATCCCCCGGCCGCTCGCTGTTACCGTCCCCGTCTTCATCTTCTGACGGTGAACGGGTGGTGCTTACTCCGGTAGTAGTTGTAGTTGTCGCGCCTGTGGTTGCTGGGTACACGGGCAAGAACTGTTATATATATAGAGAGTATAACGTAGGAAAATGCTGTCCTATGACTAGATGTAGCTTTATGATAGTTTTAAAAATAGCAATAGACTAAACGTTTATGTCAATACAATTAGCAGTTCAACCAATGACAGCGTAGTAATAAGTGGCTCGACCAATGAGAGAGTCGCTGCATGTTTTCCCATTCACTCAACAACCCCTGACAGGTTCAGAGTCAAGCAATATTAGAAATACAATTATGACTCTGTCTACCTATCCATTGCTGTTAGGGTTATTGTTTGCGTGGCACTGCCATGATTTCATGATCTTGAGGAAGCTAGACAGATACAGTGCAGTTCAGTAGATCACTCCTACCCTCCCCTAAGCGTATAGCGAACGAGCCCCGGGGTCACAGAAATTAGAGCATCCCTAGCCCTGCAGAAAGGTTTTCCCAAGGGTTTCTAGAAATGTGGGCATAGATGTGTGTCAGCAAAATTCCAGAGCTGGGAGACATTCCTGTGGACATTCCATGCCTGTGGACAAAATTCCTGTACAATTCCTAGAATTCTTGCAAACTGCTCACAATACTGTAACATTAGGCTCCCCCCTGAGGCGTCGCCAAAAACGCCGTGCGCTGTACTTACTGGGTGGGTCCAGTGTAGTGACTTCGCTGAGCGGTGTCCACGGCCCCGTACCGTCAGAGTTGACAGCGGCGGCGCGGAACTCGTACGTCGTGCTGGGCTCCAGTTCGTCAATCACCCACGTGCCACCCGCGCCTGCAACAGTCAAATAGGCAAAGTTCGACAAACAAGAAATGCTTGTAAAAAAAAAGCTGGCCGGTAAGTGTGATGACGATAAATCACTCATTTTATTTTTTAAATATTCCAACATTTCATGACTAGACATGGTTACAGCACACTGAAGTTATATGTACTTATTTTATGCCACCACCAACGCAGAGGACGAATACAGGATAATACAATACTCATTTTCACTTGAGTTGAGTCGTGTCAAGTGCCTTTCCCAAGGGCACAAGATCGGTGGCATGTCAGGACTCGAACCCGGGACCTCTTGGTTCCGAGTCGAGCACACTGCCGCTACGTCACGACCCCTATATGACTCAATTGTTCACGTCGGTGACTTGAATTTGACTACTACTAATGCTAATAAGATGGGACTTAGATGAACAATTATAATGCATCACATATGATGCGTGTGCGAATATCATCCATATAAGCAAGTTACTAAGTCATAAGCAAGATACTAGTAGCCAGGGACAAGAGGACATCAGACGTCAATTCTGAAGCGCCACCTACCGTCTCTTGTCCTAAACAGCACCCAGTCGTCGTCACTTCCGGCGATACGGTGTTGGATGGAGAAGTCGTTGACGGCACTTCCGCCCGGATCAGACGGGTCGCCGATGGTGATCTGTACCTCTGTCTGTGCGATGACTGGGAAGCGCTGGATGGTGGGAGCTCCCGGGGCCTGGCTTTGTACACCTGTCAGTAACAATAAAAGACCGTCTGATACTAGAAAGACCGACATTTGATTTGGAGAAAATGTAGCGGATGCCTTCACCACATTTTACGACAAGGCAGGGAAAGAAGGAGAAACACAAGGGAAAACAATTCTTGACATTGATATAACTATAATATGAAGTGACAGTTGGATAGCCATCCCCTACATTATTGGTTAGGATTTTTAATTGCGTAATGCAAACTGTTGATTTTCAAGATAAAAAAAGCGTTTATGCCCCGCGCATTCCAATGCTGGATCAGGAAAGCTTGACAAACCTACCGAAACACTTGAATGCTTTGTACAGGTGTTAATTGGAGTTAACCGAATCGAATTCCAACAGCCAATCAGCAAGAAGAATAGAGGAAAGCTGCATGCCTATTTGTTGCTTGCTCTGCATGCCATTGTCATGACTCATGCCCAAATATGGCAACACACTGCTATATAGTACATTTTCTATAACACAGCCAAAAAGCTCAAATAAAACCATTCTAAAAGCCTGTATCACAAAAATGAAAAAAAAAAAACGCCCGGGGGTATTTGCCCACTCTACCTTCATGCCAAATTTCATGTTATTTGGCCCAAAGATGAAGGAGTTGAATCAATTTAAAGAAATGGCAGGAGAAGGAGAAGAAACATGAGGAAAAGCAATATGGTGAAGCCATAATAAGTCGAAGCCTAAATCTCTATCAGTATTATTGAATACCCCTCGGTAGCTGCCACAAAGGCAGAAACCACCTTTTCCACGAAGCTGGACGTGACTCACCGGACACGTATTGAAAGGAAATACGCCGCGCAGTGAGACGTTACGTTATTTTAGCGTGTTTATGTTACAGCTGTAATATAATGAGTCACGTATGATAAGCCTGATATAATCCCGCCACAACACCGGTCTGGACCGGAAATGACCCGACTTGGGTTACCACTTGACTTTCAACGATAGAAACCTGCGACGGGTTTTGTCGATTGATCTTTATAGTGTGATTTTTACCGAGACAAACATTTCTGACGACGAATCAAACTGTTTAGAAATCGCTAGATAAACTATGTAAGCAATGGACAACTTTTCACTATACTGGTTTCGCATAAACGACGATGAACTACTGTTGAACTTTGATTTGATTTGATTTGATTTGATTTATCACAATGTATACAGCCAGGACTGCTCAACTAGCCGGAGGCTATTATAAAGCCCTCACAACAAGAACAATTAGGAACAGTCGCTGTGTCGGTTACACTTCAGATAAACATACTACAGTATTACATAACAGATGTTGCGGCCTCACGTTAACAAGCTATGCAATCCGGCCTAGTCGCCATGCGTTTACTATAATTACGTTGTACTATATTTACATTGTCAATACAATTCTATTGAACTCGTAATACGAGTTCTACTAAGAAGTTGTGTTCGAATATTTATCAAGTATTGTCCAGAGTTTGTTTTTTAAAGGAGCTAACGGAGCGGGCTGTACGGGTATCGCTAGGAAGAGCAGGAGATTGTTCTGTTCGCAAAGGTTCTCTGAGCTCGAGATCTTGTAGACCTATAATTTTTCAAGCAGGCTGTATGTGACAGAACCAACCAACGACAGGCTAGACTCTAAGACTGCCTTTTAAGACATCTAATGAGATTTCGGGGCGGCGAAATATTCTGCCGATGATGAGGAAATCTGTCTGATATTGACATTTCTTGCAATTTCATTTTCGGCATCATGTTATGTCTACGTGTTAGAAATAGACCAAAAGAAAGCTTTAATTATTTTTTTGTACCACCAATAAATTATTTGTCTTTTCAATTAGTATTCAAGTTTGTTGGATTAAGAAAAGAGTAGGTTTCGTCCACAGATAGAACGTTAAAGGCATACAGTGCAATTCCAGGGCGGCAAAACTGAATTTTCTGGTCATTCTTTTGAATAAACCCTGGTGCCCTGTTAGCATACTTGAATCTGTGAGGCAAAAATGCGATGTCGGAGGTTGGAAAAGGATTTCTTGATTTGTATTGTAGCCTGCCTCTAGCTATTTATTGTTGGTACCCAAGAAATAATGAAACGCCCCGTATTGCTTCAAGGTTGGATGTATTTCATACGCTTAAAATTTGAACTGATGAAGAATGTGTGTTATAGCGTTACTAAATGGCAGCAAATATCAGACAGATCTAGATTTCTTCGTCCATAATATTTCGTTTTCGTCCTGAAATTAAATTGAATGTCTTTAACCGTCTTTTCCACATCACAATACATGTATCAGTACGATACAACTCGCTTTACTAGTTTCTCTGAATCCTATCATGGTTGCCTATATATGCTGCGTTAGTTCTTTATTTCCAAGTACTACTTGAACCATGAGGCACGAAAAAGAAACACGTCGAGTTTCGCCAATTGTTAGATCATTGATTCTCTACTTATGCTACAAAATAACTTCTTTTCCAACCAACAGAGAACAGCGAAACGCTGAAGAATCTTAAATTTTGGACAAACTCCGTTTTTAGCCTCTATTAGAACAAAATAAGAAGAAGAAAATGAGAAGAAAGAAGATGAAATAAAAAAAAAAGAAATCCGTCAAATTCTGACTTACCTGTAAAAAGCAGCACTAGGCAAGCTGGAACAAACAAACACAGGTGAATATTTCCAGCCATCTCTGTCGAGTGATCCTGTCCTTCGCCTTCAAAAAACTGTTTGTCCTACAGAATCTGTGTGCAAACTGTTACCCCCGTGCTCCGAGAACGCTTATATATCCCAACGTGTCTTAGAGAGCGGGCACGGTGAAATTAATTCATGTCTATCGTCAACGTAACACTTCAAATTTTGCGCGTGCAGATTTTTTTGGGTCAAACTTTTGTTCTATTCAAAGGTGCATGACTTTGATATTAAGCCATGAGTAAGTTATGTTACAAAACCTTTAGAATATGCCTGAGCGATAGCACGGCTGAAATGTGATGATAACTAAATGATAAAATAATCCCACGGATTCAAATCATTTTTTTTTAAGTGTGGCGAGTTGGTAAGGCACGAACCAGGTAACCTGGGCGGCAGTGTTGAAGTGCGTGCCGGGGAGACGGGAGCTTGACGCTGCTACAATCACACAGGTCACGGTGGCGTGTTCACAGGCGGCCCCCACACTTTGTTTACGTCCTCTTCATCTGCGTGAATAACGGATGACTGTACCGCCGGGCCGGCTAGCCTGGGCGCCAGACCCTACTGGCTTCTCTTCGGCCAGAGAAGCCATACTCCCCGCTTACCCCGTTCGAGTCGGCACCCTGGCTCTAATTATCTCCTCGCTAATGCTGAGGTCACAATTCTTACATTGGGCACTGCCGGGCAGCTTTTGAAAACGAAAAAATATGATATAAAACGCAAAAAAAGTTTTGAATAACAATCATGGGCACTATTTCTGTTTATTCTTGATATGAATTGTTAATTTTTTGTTCATACGAACAGCCCGGCTGGGCCCCGGTTTAGAAATGCGTCCTAAACTTAAGATAAAGAGTTTGGGTGGATACTTTTGGTAGTAGACATTAGGGTTCCTCCTTAAAAAAAAATCTATCGCTTATTGAACGCCAGCGTCTGGCACCCAGGCTATCACTGGACTGGCTAGCCTAGTAACATTCCTCTTTAAATGTCTAAAAAAAAAGTTCAAAAAAAGGTTAATTTATTAGAATCTAGTGTCCAGATTTAAACGAGAGAGGTCGCGTGCTATATTGTTATATATTGTCCCTTCTTTTTATGATCATGTTATATGTATTTTTTATTAGACTCCTCCACACAAGAACGATCAATAAACTTTCAATTAGTAACCATCTTTCACTGGTCGGCATTGTTTTTCTTTGTTGTTGTTGTTTTTTACCGCTCCAACTCCAGGTCATATTCTGACAGCCTATCTTTCCAGTCCGGCTTTCTGGTGACTTGAAGCCAACGCCGTAGAAGTGTCACCGAGTTGGCGAACAGACCTAGACGGGCGGGCAACACCCCTAGCACCGTAGAGATACCAGTGAGCTCCCGATGTGGTGGACTACAAGGCTACTGCCGGGCAGGTACACTTTCCCATGCCTCACCTGGCTTCCTCTGTACCCGAGGATCCTTCAACACCACTTCTCCTGAATCGAGCACATCTAAAGGAGGCATTCTAGAACTTTCTTCCTCCTTTTCCACGGGAAGAAGCCCTATCGCTTGGCTCTCACTTTTCTTACAAGTATAGCTAAGAAACTCCGTCACCATGGAAAGAAAACAATACAAATGACTGGGCATATTCTTGTGGGTGTTAGGCTTAAATGTTCGGTTATCCCGTAGGTGTATCGCATTGCCGGGTAAGTTTTCAGTAAAACTGTGGTTACTATGGACTGCAAACAAAGGAAAATAACGTAAATCCAACGCGTTGGATAAGTCTACTAAATCGGCCACTGTAGCCTGTCATCCCTTCGTTATTGTGACCGCATCGGAACGAAGTAAACAGCTACTTCAGGTTATCTAAAGAGATTAGAGCCACGTAGATGGTTCCTCGAGTGCCGCGTGCAGAACAAACACTAAAAATGTGACAAACGTTTTAAAATAACAGTTTTCATGCACGAGAAATAACAGAGCCGCTTTGATCCGGTTCTGTGATAGACTGTAAGAAGGAATTTGCGGTGGCGTGTGTGACTGCTTCTGAAGTAACCCTTCAGAAATGTGATTCACCGTCTTTGTTCGCCGTGTAAGAAAAGTCTGCAGTGTTTTTTCGGTGTGTCAAGTTGTTTAGGGTCGTGGCAGAAGTTTCTAGATAAGATGTGTACCTCGAGCGTATGGTAGAAAAGATAAAGGTAGCCCCGTAGCAATTTTATGCCTTAGGGACAGTAGGTTATTGAATGAATGACTAAAAGACCTTTATTGTACACATTTGCTCATTGCGAATTAAGTACAGGTCACGGCAAATAGCGATGGTAGACTAAAATATACCTTTGGTAAAACTACATATGTACAGGTTCTGCTTCTTCTCGCTTCTTAAGACAGTTGTAAATGTACGAACATACGGAGCTTACAGTACGAGGATTATCTTGTTTCATGAGGAATGTGAATTTTTCTTTTCTATCTAAAAATCTAAAACTAGAGAAATAATCTTGTATACCATTGAAGAGAATCTTTCATTATTATATAAAGTACAGTCCACAATAAAACGACTCTCGTCTTCAATCTCATTTAGGTTACAATATTATTATCCACTGTGTCAAGGGCATGGTATTGGACGATGTAGACTAACCCTCGCTCATTACAACGCCGTTTACCTCCCCAACCAAAGTTAGGTACCCATTTCTACACCTGGGTGGAGTGAGGTCGCATGTAAGAGTGCATTTCCCATGGGCACAGTATCAGTGACATGACGGGATTCGAACCCAGGACCTCTGGGTTCTGGGCCAAAAGCTCCAGCTGTTACGCCACACAACCGTTTGAAGAGATACTACATCTCTGATGTAATATGACAACGAACGATTCGTATCTGGATTGTTTCATGATCGTTTCCAATCTGCTTCAGAACAAATTTGCTACCATTGCTACTAGATTTACACACAAGAGTCCCTTATACTCAGCGAGGACTAATGTCCAAGCGTAAGGGCTTTATAAATAGTTTTAGCAAGGAGTAGTTTAAAAATCACATCCTTCTGATTTTTAACCTGATGACTTGTTCTGACAATTTTTTTTGCAAACTTCTGGACACCTGCTCGATCACCTCTGTAAGATATCATTGCAACAAGAAAGGCAAAGGAAGCACAACAAAACAATGGATGGATTGTTGATCTATATCATCTATCTTCGAACGACTTTACATTTAGAAATCCCAGACATATAGAGCTAAAGTTCCTGTCATACATTCAGGAACTTCCAACCAAGGTCGGCTGAAGTAGTCATTTTGGGGCCACATCTACCTCTCTGTGGAATCGAATCGAATTTGAGTTCAATTTGAGTCAAATTTGACTCCCAACAACGCCCTACTACTACTGGCCTAGTATTAGTACACCCGGACACCAGCCAACTATTGCCGAACCTCTTGTCCACATGCTAAAGTTTTGATCATTTTGAAACATTTGACTAGTGCAGCCGAACACCAAACGACCTCGCCGAGCATCAGGCGACCTTGCCCCCGTCCTACTCCCGACCTACTCCCGACCATAGTTCGGCCAGTGTTCAAGAGGCCATCCCCGGCTTTTATTTGTACTGTGTGACAGGGGCTTAAGTGAACCAACACCACACATGCTTGGATCAGTGTGTACATGACTTAAAGCATGACCGTTATTCCCAACAGTGTACCTTACATCGAAAACAGCTTAAGTTAAGTACAGTATCTACAACAACATCAGCTCCTTCAACGGCAAGAAAAACATCTTGTGGCAGATGTGTACACCTTAAAGGCGAAGTATTGGATTTTCAAAGTCAATTTTCTATTTTTATGTTGAATCGACCCTATCTCATAACATAATAATATCTGTGAGGCAAACCTGCGATGTTAACCTTTTTTTTTTCTTTTACATCATACTTTTTGTTCCATAAGACTGCCCGGCCGGGCTCCGGTTTGGAAATGTAACCTCAGCATTACGTTTGGTTGTATGTTGACTACGGTGTACTCGTCTCTGTGTCTGTGACTTTGTGTCCCCTGACGTCTATGACGTTCTTGTGCACGCCGAACGTAACCAGCCCGACCACTACCAGCGTCACGGCCACCAGGGTGGGCACTACTATCCACACGGCGGCCAGGCCCGGCTCTGGCGGCGGCGGTGTGTTGTAGGAGTCGGCGGTAGGAACCGGCAGGGCCGGAGTGGTGGCTTCTGAGGGAGGCCTGGTCACATCGTCTGCCGGTAAAATTCAGGAAGACTTTCATTGTGCGTGCATGCCCTTACAAGCTAAGTACAGGTCATGTATAAAGCAGAAGTTAAAATAACAAGAGGTATCTTATATTTTTGGCAATTAACGGCTTATATTTGCAGCTGCTTTGGACGTTTTACGGTATGGTCGAAAACTTTTTGGAAACAGACGAAAATACAGACTAATGTAAACTACATTACGCTTCTCAAGGCAGTTGTAGATGTGTGAACATATGGAGCTTATAATACATGGTTTGGCTAGGAAATACTAATGTTGCAATAATGTACTGAGGCCAGAAATAAATGATGTAAGTGAAATAAGAGTTCCCCTAAAAGTTCAAATTAAAGAATCAAGATTACAGAGGCATTGGGCAATATGTTGTCGAGGCAAAACATTTGGTAAAAGCCTCTTTCCATGTTCAAATGCAGATGCTGATGCGAGTGTGAAACTAAAGTTTGGCAAAAATTTAATTTGTCATTTTTGCATTCTAAACCATCGTTTTCTAATGTTGTTTGGCAATTTATGACTTATATTTGCAGCTGCTTTGTACGATTTACATATTGGTCGAAAACTTTTTGGAAATAGACGAAAATTCATGCCCGCAAAGATGACGTTAGCCTTATAATCATATCAACACGACCTTATATATAAGGCCACTTCGATTTGATTATATGGATGACATCCTCTGGAAACGCCAAAACTGATGCGCGCGTGCGAATAAAAGAAAGTTTTGCAAAAAAAAGAGTTGCTTTTCTTATGAAATCTACGTGGTCATGAAGGTTGAACAAATGACACAGAATATAGTTTGGCGAATAATCTACTCTTCAAAATTAATTTCTTTACATTTTCGTCTTTTTTTGGCTCAATTTTTTGTAAGTTACGGTATATTTTTGCTCATTTTGCAACTGTTTGTACGATTTACGGTATGGTTGAAAACGTTTTTTTGGGGGGGGGGGGACGGCCGAAAATTCATGCGCGCGCGGATGTCATCCATGTAATCAAATCAACATAGCCTAATTGTCTGGACAGAGTTATGATTGTGCACGCCCTTAAAACCACCTACCCAGTGTGGTAACCGTCTCTACAGCCGAGTACGGTCCCTGTCCGTTATCGGCATTGACCGCAGCCACACGCAACTCGTACGTGGTAGACGGCAGCAAACCGCTAATCTCAACTGGTCCGGCTGCCAGTGTTGGAAGAACAAAAAGAAAACAAATTAGAGAAAAGGGTAGATACAAACAATTGTCTGTTGATGATAGAAGGTGTAAAATTGTACAGAAAAATGCAGTGGAGGACGAAACGCACATCAATTGCCATATTGCAACACAATACAGCGGTGAAAGAGGTAAGTTATTTTGAGAAGTCAGCAAACTAGCTGTTTCACTTTCCAGCCAACAAAAACTGCATTTCTATTAAAACATCCCAATTCATACATCTTGCAAATTGTGGGACATTCCATACTCCACACAGAAAAGAAATCAAGCCCAACAATATCTATATTAGAAATAGCATGAGCACTATTAACTTTAGGCACTTTTTACTGTTTACTGTTATTTTATCGTTTCCGTTGTTCTTAGCCCTCGGGCACCAACTTTTAATAAACGTTCAATTGTAGCATTTATCACACAATGGGAGGCTGTAGCTGTATTAGGGCAGAAGGGATAGATGATTGTTCATCTGTCAGTATAAATCCGGAAACATTACAGAAAACCAATACTCATTTATCCGTATTTGCAAAGGATGTACGAGAGGCTCTTTGTTCTTCAGTTCCTGTTTAGGCCATGTTGATTTGATTATATGGATGACATCCGCGCGCGCATGAATTTTCGGCCGTTTCCAAAAAAAAAAGTTTTCAACCATACTGTAAATCGTACAAAACACTTGCAAAATGAGCAAAAATATACCATAAGTTACAAAAAAAATTAATAAAAACTATACTAATGTCGTAGAATGCCAAAATCAAACGAAAAAAGATGAAATCGTAAAGAAATTAATTTGAAGACTAGATTATTCGCAAAACAATATTCTGTGCCATTTGCTCAACCCTCATGACCACGTAGATTTCATAATGAAAAGAACTTTTTTTTTTTGCAAAA